GAGTAATAGGTTACAATACGTACAAATACCACAAAGTCATGAACTGAAACTGGTCCTCCTCAAGGCTCAGTTCTCGGAGTTAAATTGTTTATACTCTATTTGATTTAGAGGAATCTGTTACTTCACAGTTTGACATCAGAGGTATGACGTTTTGATTTGTACTCTTCTTTCCAGGAGTGATAGCTCTCAGTCAGGAGTTGAGGCATCTAGACGAGGGACTCAAACACCTCTCGCTGGCTTCTGCGTCAATGACTGCCAAAGGTACACAAACATCACAGGAAGCATCAGATAAGACAAACTAAACATGGATGAGTGAAGGATGAGTGCTAAAGCCAGAATCTCACTGCTGACAAACTGTTGGCTTAAAAAAACTGTGAGAAAATATTCAAATATTCAGTTTTTACTTGAGTTGAGATGTTTGTCCATCCATCCATCCATCCATCCATCCATCCATCCATCCATCCATCCATCCATTCATTTTCTGCCACTTATCCGGGGTCAGGTCTTGGGGGCAGCAGCCTAAGCAGAGAGACCCAGACTTCCCTCTCTCCAGCCACTTGGACCAGCTCCTCCGGGGGAATCCCAGGGTGTTCCCAGACCAGCTGAGAAACATAGTCCCTCCAGTGTGTCCTGGGTCTTTGGGTCACCTGACCAGGGAGGCATCCGGGAGGCCTCCTAACCAGATGAACCACCTCAACTGGCTCCTCTCGACGTGGAGGAGCAGCGGCTCTACTCTGAGTCCCTCCTGGATGACTGAGCTTCTCACCCTATCTCTAAGGGAAAGCCCAGACACCCTGCAGAGGAAACGTTTCAGCCGCTTGTATCCGCGATCTCGTACTTTCAGTCACTACCCAAAGCTCGTGACCATTGATGATAGGGGTATAAGAAAATATCGATACACTGAAATATCTCGATATTTCATTTCCCGATACTGTATCAATATTCCAAAACCCTGTATCGATTTTTTTAAGGTTTAAAACGTCAACTTTCCTGCCAGACACTCATTTTTATGTTGTATGTCAGCCTCTGGCCACTAGTTGGCAGCAGTGAGCCATTTGGCTCCTCTACCTCTTGAGCGCCAGAGAGTAAAGGTAGCATTAACATTGTGAGTAAACATTAGCTTCCTGCTCCGATAGCTGAATCTGAGTGGAAAAGACAGACACCCTCTGCCTTCTAAGCTGAGGTAAGGTTACAAACAGTTATTCATCAGAATGTCTGTATTTTAAGACAAATTAAGTGTCTTGTGCGTTCTTTTTTCCAACTGTAGTCAGCTTTCACGTTACGCATATAGCGCATGCGTCTATCCCCTCGAGCGAGCTCAGCACTCCCCCCGTGACATAAAACTCTGTCTGTTGCTCTCAATGTCCGGCTGATGATCGCATCAAAGTCCATATACTTTATCCTGCTGTGTTCGCTTCAAAAACGGTTTAATTGTGTTGTTTAGCTTCTCCATTCCAGTAAGAGGTTTTTATTTAATGGAATTTTTGTGCAAAAAAAATTGCAATATATTGCCTTGTTTACAGTATCGAAATGTATCAGGATATATCATATCATGACCCCTTTGTCATGATATGTATCGTATCGCCAAATTCTTACCAATACACAGCCCTAATAGATGAGGGCAGGAACGTAGACTGACCGTTAAATCAAGAGCTTTGCCTTCTGGCTCAGCTCTCGCTTCACCACAACAGACCGGTACAACGTCCGCATCACTGCAGACGCAGCATCAATCCACCTGTTGATCTCCCGCTCCATTCTTCCCTCATTTGTGAACAAGACCCTGAGAAACTTAAACTCCTCCACTTTGGGCAGGACCTCCTCCCCGACCCAGAGACGGCACCCTACCCTTTTCCGATTCAAGACCATGGTCTCGGATTTGGAGGCACTGATCCTCAACCCGGCTGCTTCACACTCGGCTGTGAACCGCTCCAGTGAGAGCTGGAGATCAGGATCTGATGAAGCCAAAAGAACCACATCGTCTGCAAAATCACCAAAACAGATCCCCTCAACACCTTGGCTGTGCTTAGAAATTCTGTCCATAAAAGTTATGAACAGAATTTGTGACAAAGCAAACCTTGGTGGAGTCCACCTCTCACTGGAAACTAGCGAGTAGTAACAGATGGTAAACGAGTTACAACTGGCAATGCAAACCCAGCTTTGACACCAGTCGTACAGGGACCTAACAGCACGTACCAAAAGTCCTGGTACCCCATACTTCCAGAGTACCCCCACCCCACCCCCCACCCCCCACAGGAGTTAGACCAGAATCGCCTCGAAGCTGTATGGAAGTCTTTTTCCATGACTTCTCCTAACGTCCCACGCCCGAGTTTTTGCACCAGCAACCACGTGAGACACAATCTGCTTGGACTGCCGGTGTCCCTCAGCTGCTTCCAGAGTCTCACAGGTCAAAAAGACCCAAAAGGACTCCTTCTTGGACTGTTCTGACGTGTCTTTATGAGCCCTGATCTAAATCCTGTTGAATATCTGCGGAAAGAACCCTTCAAACCTGAGACAGCTGCTGCAGTTTGTTCATGAGGAGTGGACCAGGATACCTGTGGACAGGTGCAGACGTCTCAGAGTTGTAGAAATTCTTGATTGCACTGATTTTCTTAAAAGATTGAGCAACAAAATGTTAACAGTTCCATCCTTCTTGTCAAGGTCATTTTCATTATTATTAATATTGAGTTTCTTGGTTTGTTTGTTTGTTCGTTGTTGTTAAAACAAATGTCAAGACTTATTTGCAAAAACAATAAAAAGGAAAAATGACTAAAACACAACTTATGAAAGTCAGACATAAAAGTCTGTTTATTTCAGTAGCTTTTGTTATTTTTCTTTCTTTAACAAAAGGACACTAACAGTTTTGCCAGCAGCTGTGTTCATCACTTGTGGTTTGGTTTTAGGGCTTGGCTGTCTGAGTCAGGTGTTGTCTTCCAATCAGCAGTTTTCCTCCTCCCTGACACACCTTGATTTGTCTGGAAACCCAGGATCTCTGGTCACTGAAGACGCCACGGTACACTCTGCTTTCCCCATCTGTAAAATCATCTGCTTCCCAAGGAGTGGAAGGGATGTGAGACATGTGTAAATGTGCCAGGAGCAGGTTGTTCTCACAAACTGAGTGATAGAAGGAGAACGGTGAGAGACCACCAAAACTCCTGAGACCACTGAAGCCTCAGCAGGTGAGATAACTGAGCTACAACTACGGTTTCCCAGATCTTCAACAGTTTGAGCAACAAAAAGAAAATCACTGTTGAAGAAAACTCTAAATAAATTTGATTAGACTTTAAAACAACACGTGGAAGACTGTAGCCTGGTGTTATGACCCAGTGGCTCAAAGGAAAGCAACATAAATGGGACAACCAGACAAGAGGTGGAGTTTGACTAAAAAAGGTTTATTAAAACTAAAGGGCTAGTTGTGAGGGGACACCAGCAAAACTGCAGCCATGCAGCTGAGGGAGGAGAGAGCAAGTCTCCTCCTCCTCAGGAGGATGTGGCCCACTTAAATAGGCTGTTCACACCTGCAGATAGTTGATGATTACAGGTGAGAATCTACCTGGAAAGAGAGAAACACACAGTCTCGTAACATGGTTGTTATTCGTAAAAACCAGCCCCTTGTTTGCTTCATACAGAGGGTCTCGCCTATAGAGAAGTGATTTCTTGCTGGAGGCGTTGCCTCTGTTGAAGTTTAAAACGACTGGATCTGATTTACCCAACGTTTGGCTGTGATACATGTAGTGTGCCAGCTCGACCTTAAAGCTAAGCTAAGAAGCTAACTGTGTGCTGTAAACAACCAAACCTACTGAGAGGAGAGAAATCCCTAAAAACAGGCAAAGTGTGGAGCTCCAAGCTTTTCAAACAGCACCAGAAGTTCTGTTATGTAAACCACAGTCACATGCAGTCTGAACCACATGTTTCTCACAAAGAAGAGTCATTAAAGGGTCTTTGTCAGCCTGGTTCACAGAGAGATGCTTTGGTTGCATGCATAAAGGTGTGAATTAGAAAAAACCTGACTATCGGGTTTAATTTTTCATTACAGATTTTAGAAAGTTATTTTCTGAGACCTCCTCTGTTTAGATGTGATTTCTCTTGTCTTTTGTAAATGTCTTCCTTTAGCCCCTCAAACCATCTGTTTTTTGTCCAAAATAAGAATATTTTAGTTGTCGAGTGCTCCTCATTCTTGACCTGTAGATGCACTGAACCTCTATGTTCAGACCACTATATCAGAGAAGCTACAGTCTGCATGGTTTAACTGTAGTATACATACAGGTGCTGGTCATAAAATTAGAATATCATGAAAAAGTAGATTTATTTCAGTAATTCCATTTAAAAAGTGAAACTTGTATATTATATTCATACATTACATACAAACTCATATATTTCAAATGTTTATTTCGTTTAATTTTGATGATTACAAATGACAACAAATGAAAATCTCAAATTCAGCATATCAGAAAATTAGAATCTTGTGAAAAGGTTCAAAATGGATGGCACCTGGTACCACACTCTAATCAGCTAATTAACTCAAACCACCTGCAAAGGCCTTTAAATGGTCTTTCAGTCTAGTTCTATAGGCTACACAATCATGGGGAAGACTGCTGACTTGACAGTTGTCCAAAAGACGACCATTGACACCTTGCACAAGGAGGGCAAGACACAAAAGGTCATCGCTGAAGAGGCTGGCTGTTCACAGAGCTCTGTGTCCAAGCACATTAATAGAGAGGCGAAGGGAAGGAAAAGATGTGGTCGAAAAAAATGTACAAGCAAGAGAGATAACCGCACCCTGGAGAGGATTGTGAAACAAAACCCATTCAAAAATGTGGGGGAGATTCACAAAGAGTGGACTGCAGCTGGAGTGAGTGCTTCAAGAACCACCACACACAGACGTATGAAAGACATGGGTTTCTGCTGTCGCATTCCTTGTGTCAAGCCACTCTTGAACCACAGACAGCGTCAGAAGCGTCTTGCCTGGGCTACAGAGAAACAGGACTGGACTGCTGGTGAGTGGTCCAAAGTCATGTTCTCTGATGAAAGTAAATTTTGCATTTCCTTTGGAAATCAAGGTCCCAGAGTCTGGAGGAAAAGAAGAGAGGCACTTCATCCACGTTGCTTGAAGTCCAGTGTAAAATTTCCACAGTCAGTGATGGTTTGGGGTGCCATGTCATCTGCTGGTGTTGGTCCATTGTGTTTTCTGAGGTCCAGGGTCAACGCAGCCACATACCAGGAAGTTTTAGAGCACTTCATGCTTCCTGCTGCTGACCAACTTTTTGGAGATGCAGATTTCATTTTCCAACAGGACTTGGCACCTGCACACAGTGCCAAAGCTACCAGTACCTGGTTGAAGGACCATGGTATCCCTGTTCTTAATTGGCCAGCAAACTCTCCTGACCTTAACCCCATAGAAAATCTATGGGGTATTGTGAAGAAGAAGATGCAATACACCAGACCCAACAATTCAGAAGAGCTAAAAGCCACTATTAGAGCAACCTGGGCTATCATAACACCTGAGCAGTGCCACAGACTGATCGACTCCATGCCACGCCGCATTGCTGCAGTAATACAGGCCAAAGGAGCCCCAACTAAATACTGAGTGCTGTACATGCTCATATTTTTCATGTTCATACTTTTCAGTTGGCCAACATTTCTATAAATCCTTTGTTTTTATTGGTCTTCAGTAATATTCTAATTTTCTGATATGCTGAATTTGAGATTTTCATTTGTTGTCATTTGTAATCATCAAAATTAAACTAAATAAATATTTGAAATATATGAGTATGTATGTAATGTATGACTATAATATACAAGTTTCACTTTTTAAATGGAATTATTGAAATAAATCTACTTTTTCATGATATTCTAATTTTATGACCAGCACCTGTAGAAGTCTATTTTTTAGAATAGTTTTGTGGAAAACTGAGAACCTACACCAGTTCTCTCACTATTTTCTTTCTTCATGGTCTCTCAGTTTGTGAGGACATCCTGCTTGTGGTAGATTTACACATGTCCTGTGTTCCTTCTACTTCTTGAAGATGAATTTAACAGAACTTTTGGGATGTTTGACTTGTACTTTACAAAAATCTTATCTTTGTGTTGAATTAGAACTTGAGTTAGGAAAAGGGATGAATATGACAATCCCTTATATTACATCACATACTTTTATTTCATTAGTATTTGTAAAAAAATTGTTCTCCCTTTGTCATTAAAAAGGCATTTTTGTCAAATAGACCAACTTGCATTGGCCATGAAAAATAGTAATAAAAAAGTAAAGCATCTAAGGAGGTGGATGTTTGAAGATTAGAGCTGGGTTTTATTCAGGTTCTTCTCATCATTTTGTCTCACTTTCCACAACATAAATAAATTAAAATACCTCATTTACTGTAACACATGTGTCCTACAGTTTCTCTTCAAGTTCCTGTCCAGTACGAATACTCTGTCTTATCTGGACCTCAGTGATACCAGCTGCCCTCTGGACACGGTCTGTAAACTCTGTCTTAATGGTGGCTTTATCACAAGCTTTGAGTATTTTAAAAAATAAATTTTCTGTACAAAGACAGATCTAATAATAATTATTTGTTTATTAAGGATGTATTGAGTGAAATTTCTCTTTTCTTGCAAACCATTCTACTGATCCACTGATTCTTTATTCAAATTTGCATTAATATAAAATAATATGAAGACTTTGTCTGTGTCATGAAGAGCTTAGAGTAAATATATTATGTACAATGAAGTTTAAAAACATTGTACATAATTCTCACACATCACTCTAGTATCCAGTTTAAAGATGAGTTTATTAAAACATGCTGAGTAAAGACTTAATATTTTGCTGACAAATATTTGTCCTGAAGTTGTTTGCTACATATCTCTGTTTGTCTAATCTTTTTTTATTATTATTTATTTTGTCTTACAGTTGTTTGTGTCCCTTTCTGCTGGATGTTGTTACAAACTGATTCACCTGAACTTAGCCAGGAATCCATTCAGCTACAGGTCAGTTTCACTTCAGTAACATCAGCAGGTCAGGAGTGCTTTCATATGGAAGACCTCTTAAATGGATTGTTCAGCCATTATTAAAGATGCAGAAGGGAGTTCTGAGAAAACTGAGGACTTAGCCTGAAAATTAAAAAAAAAATAAAAATAAAAACACACATTACAAGTCCCTCCTCCTTGCTCTCTGCTGTGGTACAGCTCTCCCTCACAGCTCCTCCTCCCACAGCATTACTTGTGAACACGTGGATAAACAGCCATGGCACATTCAGAAATCTCAGAAATTGAAAGATAGAATCCCAGCCCCAGGACCTTTCTAGACAGAGTTTGTTCTTTACGTGCAGGTGTGGGTTTTCTCTGGGTACTCCAGTTTCTTCCCACAAACCAAAAACATGACTGCTATACTAACTGGTAACTAAATTGAGATGCAGAACAGGAGTAGGGATAGGCCATCACCTTGGTATGTGTCATATTTAACGTTAACTTGTACAATTGGCGTTGAACTGGCCTCGAAAGTTGTCTTCTACACTCCCACTGGAATCTTGACGATGACTCTTAGAGCAGGAGTGTCAAACTTATTATGACCCCCGCACGCGACGCGTAAGCGGTATTGTTTTCGTACTGTTTTTTTTTTTTGGTCAACCGTAGCACAAAAACAGCTGCACCAATCAACATGAAATTTGGCAGGACTCTAGATGAGTCTGACCTACACTGCCCCAGCCAATGTTTTTACGCTACACCCCATATTTGAGGAGGGGGCTCCTTTCAAAGAGGGTGTGTCAGGACATGCAAAAATGCTTATAACTCAGARAMTGTTCAACATAGRAGCTTCAGATTTCTTTTGTTGTTTAGCTCTGATGAAGCTCTATCCATCAGGCCCACCAATCAGKSCCCCACCCACCCCCAGACCCCCAATTTATCTGAAAAGGGGGTTTCTGGACATAAAAAAATGGTTAAAACTCAAAAACTATTAAACATAGGAGCTTCAGATTTCTTTTGTTGTTTAGCTCTGATGAGGTGCTATCCATCAGCTTAACCGTCAGTGCCCCCACCCACCCCCAGACCCCCAATTTATCTGAAAAAGTGGTGTCTGGACATACAAAAATGGTTAAAACTCAAAAACTATTAAACATAGGAGCTACAGATTTTCTTTGGTTGTTTAGCTCTGATGAAGGGCTATCCATCAGGTCAACCAATGTCCCCCACCAAAAAAAAGACCCCCTCCCAAGCCACTACGATTTTGAGGTGCACCCAGTAGCATGACATTTATTAGGAATAAAGACTTCTGAGTTTTGGTGCATTTGTGCGTGCGGGGGTCATTATGTTACCGCTATGCGGTATCTAGTTTTCAACAAGGGTCAGATGGCCCTGAAAGAGCCAGTTGTAGTTAATTTTAACATTTCCTTTTTTGCACTGACCAAGCAGAAAATGTCATGCTCCTCGTCTCATTGCTATGATTGATCACAGATAAACTGAGCTCTACCTGGCATTTCCTGCATAGAGACAGAGTTTTAACATGTCCTTTTATAAACACTAAAAAGTACTATGTGTACAACCGACTAAATGTGAAACAAATGATACAGAAATATTATTAAGAGTTTTACTCTCTGTTGAGTTGTGCTGAATAGATGCAAACTTGAATTCTGAACTCTCCCACTTTCCAAAAGGGAATTTCCACTGGAGCTGGGTTCGGTACTTAGACAAAGTGTCAGTCAGCAAACTATGTTTACTGTGGTCCCTCAAATTTCTCATGAGCTCAGTTTTCTAATTAAGTTTTCTAATGAAAAAAAACTCTCCATGGAAAGAGTTCATACATTTTTCTCAGTTAAAAAACAAGCTTGAGTAAATGTTACTAATGATGTTTTGAGGACAGGTTTTCATTCTGTGAATATCTTATTACTGCCCATACAAGAAGCAGCAGAGTGGTATATCTATTAGGGTTGGGCATAATCGTATTGTGTGTGATTAAACGTCAGAAAAACATTCATTGATTATTATTTGGCACTTGACGATTAATACGATTAATGCCACCAGGCGAACAGACTGGAGATTTCTCCAGTCAGTTCGCTCGGTGCTCCTCTCCTCTTCAAATATAACGAACATTAGAAAAAAAACGTGAAATTTATTTATCTATCAACACAATTTAAAATTTGATGTATAGCCTGAAGTCTGTAATTTTGACACAATTTGGAACCGTTTTTACAAAGAGCAAATCTTTCCCACTAAATTGGTCATGTGACTAGGACATAATGGTGTCCAGGGACTCCAGGGCATTAATTATCAAATTAATTTTTATCGGTTAAATGCCACAATTAATCGTGATTAATTTTTCTTTGCCAATAATGCCCAACCCTAATATCTATGTTGTGTTCTGACCTTTTTCAAGCTTTTTTGCTGACATTTCTGAAAAAGACAAACATCACTGGGTAACAAACCTATCTGAGAGACGTGTAGTGAAGTGCAAACAGATAGAAGAAGTTTAGATGAGTGAAGCAGATTTTTAAAGCATTTGTCTGACACGAGCACCAATTCTGATTCTGTTCTGGACGTGTCATATTGTCTGTTTTTGTAACTCTGGTTGTTTATGTGATTGTAGAAAGGTTCGGGGGGTGACCAGAAGTGTTCAAGAGTTCTTCAGTCTCAGCTGTGAACTAAAATATGTGGGCCTGTCTGCCACCAAACTACCTCCACAAGCTCTGAGGTTGTTTTTTATTTTCTTAGTTAATGTTTAACTCCAAATACTATGTTTAAAGTTTATTTTGTCTATGAATAAATTGTCTGTTTGAAGTAATTACCACTGAATCTGCTGTCCTTGAACACCTGCGGGCCTGTAATTAATAAGCAGTGTTTGTTTTATTATTATTATTTTGTTATTAGGTTATTACTACAGGGTCTGGCAACCAACACTCGTCTCTTCGGTCTGGAGTTGGATGTCAGCAGCTGTGAGGTACATGAGACACTCCCACATACAAACTAAATAAAATTAAAAAAAATATTTGGATTATTCATAAGATAAGCTAAAAATAAACTTTTTTATATGTATATATTTTTTATCTGTAGCTGCGTTCGGCTGGGGCCCAGGTGATACAGGAGCACATCTCTGAGGCTACAGCTATCAGACGGCTGGATATCTCTGATAACAGTACGCAAACCTCCCAATGTTCTGCATCATGTTCACTTTATACCATTCGTAAATGTGACCCATCATATCGAAATGAGGATTAATTCAAATCTGGTTAAAATAACCTAATTAAATCTTCAGATTTCTGGCTTTAAAAGCTACATTTTGATACTTGGATTATTCTGATATAATCTTATCCAGAGATATGACTAAATTTGTCTTGTTGGTTAGAATAATACATTACTGTCTGGTCTAAATCCTCATTTTATGTAAATTTATTTAGTAATTTTTATGTCAATATAAAGAGGAAACCTCAAATATTATTTGAACATTAAAATTTTCCAGTTGGAAAGAAACAAAAACGTTTCTAGCTCACAGGGAAAATTCAAAAATTCAGGGTGTTTTTCCTCAAAAACAGGTTGTTTTGAGCAGTTGCTACTGCTCAAAGCAATGCTTCAAAAATATTTGAGGATTATATTTCAGACAGTTCATTCAAATGATTAATTGATAAGGCATTAATTCATTATATTTTGACAAAATGCAATTTTTGCACAAGTCACATGCAGTTGTTTTCTTTTGTCTTTACATCTCCCATATTCCCCTCTCCACTCTTCAGATTTTGAAAGCGACATGGTGACTCTGGTTCTGTCGGTTGGTCGATGTCCGTCACTTCAACATCTTGCATTAGGAAGAAATTTTGCCATGAAGTCCAGGTCTGGTAAATGTCACGCACACATCCAATAACTGCACACACCTGATGTCAGACATTTTCACCCACTCAATGTGGACATGAATGTCAGGAAGTCAGAATTACATGTCGGCCTTTATTTTAGTAAACCATGAGCTGCTGCATTCAAGATGGTTAAAGGGATCCATGATTAGTTCTAATATTAAACTTTATTTGATAAACATATATTTTAACTGTAAAATAAAGACTGTAAAAATACTGTAAGATGTTTAGTTTATTTTTTTTAATATATTTTAACACGGACAGAGCCATTATATTTACACGCAAAGCATTCTGGGTAAATGATGACATCAACTAGGTCACTGGTGTGAGGCTGCTAGCGAGCTATTTCCAAC